GCTATAAAAACTTCAGGCATTTATAGGTAAATGGATGAAACTTGAGACCTTACTCAAGTGAAATTAATCCGATTCAGAGGAGGGGATTGGGGAAAAAAGAATAAAAATGTATTATGTACAGGTACATATTCTGTGTAATGAATGTGACCACTATGTATATCTAAAATGTAAACAAAAAATATTAAAAAAGAAAATATTTTCCCATAAGAAAAGATATGCAAAAAATTAGTATGTAAAATGCTAGTTGTTAATCAAATCTGTAGATTGCCAAAGACATAAATTGAAATAATAAAGAGTTACTCTTTTGCACAACAATAGTAGTGTACCCATATTCAGTGCTGCTGTGGATACAATATAACTGTATCCAATATAAAACTGTGTACAATAAAATATAATCTTATGTGATTGGAGTAGTACTTCATTTTGTCATGTTTGGAGGACTTTTGGTAATAATATAAGAAAAGATTGTTTAATCATGTTAACCTTTGACCTAAAACTTTGAGTTTTAAAAGATTAAAATTTTATTGAATAAAAATACACTTTGCAATAAGAAATCTATGTAGTTAATAACTCAAAAAGCAGGTCACAGGAAAAGATGTGCAGCATTTTCCAACACTTATTTAAAAACAAGTTACAGCTTGATGTCTAAACCAGCACATAAACAAGATTCTGGTGAAGAGTATACAAAGTTAATAGTTATAGAGGGTGTGCATTGGTCATTTTTACTGTATCAGTATACTAGCTATTGTGTCTGTTCTTTCTCTCATTGACTTTATTGGTACATCTTAGGTATACAGTACAGTTACATTCATCATTGGGATCTTGTACCTTTACACGACAGGTCTTGGTTCTCATTTTTCCCCTTGTCCCTGCCCTCCCTTCACTCCCTCCTCCCTTCCCTATTTACAAATACTTTATTTCCATTTTTTCGGTTTCTCATGTTTTTTTTTTTCTTTTCCCTTATTTCCTTTCCCCTACCCTTCCCATTTCCCCTACACCTTTAGTCCTTTTCTTCCTATTTCACACTGTCAATTATACCATTAGGATCTTATGTGCAATTACAGTTTTTCACACCAGAAAAACTATTCGGTATTAGTTATTGTGTTTCAATGCTCACACAACTCATGCATGTCACAAACAGACATGTCCATCCACTTCACCAGGATGTTCTTTTGAGGGGCTCAAATTCTGCCCTGAGTTTCCTAAAACTTTAGAATAAGAGCACCTGGCTAAGTGAAAAGATTTTTATTTCTAAGAAATGTAATACAAGCCTTTCTCTACATGCCAAGGTATTTGTATTGTGACATAAAAGAACATTGATTCACAAACACTTTTCCTGAAATTATCCAGCACAGTTGTCTTTGAGAAAGCTGCATTACATTTACAATGTCTCAGTATTAACCAATATGAGACAACCTGTTTTTCTTTTTTTCCAATCTATTATGAGGTTGAAAACACTATATGGGGTGTGTGTGTAAGGGAAAAAGACAGAGATGATATTTCTGTGAATTTATGACAGGTATAATAGTATTTTTCACTCTGAGCATGTGGGATAAATACATCTACTCTATATGAGAGATATCATTTTAAAATATTTCTTCTTTTTCTGAATTAGGCACAATTTTATTATGGAAACACATAACGGATGAAGTAAATGTAAAACAGTGAAATATGCTTTGCAAAAATGGAATGTATAAATACAAAATTCTAACTGAATGACAGTTTGCCTATAAATGATTTTAACATTCTTCACTCATTCTTTTTTATTTTTATTATTTATTTCATATCACTTTATTTTATTACAATCTTATCAGTTCCATTGATATTATCTTCTTAAATAAAAAAAAAATGATTCTCCCTAACCATAGTTTTCATCCAGCCACATGATTTGAATTATCTCATTTAACATTTTTGAGAAACTTTTTTTATCCAATTTCAAATTCTTTTCTCACACTTCACACTCCATATTTCTTATAGACATCTAAAATGATTGTTACATTTGTGGATATATATTAGTTTTCTGTGTAGAGTCAAACTAGCTCCAGGCTTGTAGCACCTGCATCTTACAACCACAGCCCAGGAAATCACCTGAGTATTGCCAAAGTTGTATCTGGTCTAGGGACATAGACTTGGAGTTAAACATTGTTCCACACACCAGAAACATCCCCATATTGGTGAGAAAATGCCAAGCATTTCAGTTGAATTATAATATATTTATTTGGCACAGGCTGTCCTAAGAGAAAATGGACTACTTTCACTGAGTCATTTAACAGTTAACTTCATCTAGTTTTTTTTTTATTGCATCTGCTTTTATGTTTTTGAAATTTGATTTTCATTGAAAACTTGCAATTCTTTTAGTATGACAGATATTCAGGATGCGCGTATTTTCCAAGGCATGTGTTATGTGCCATTTCTTACCCACACCTTGGAACAGCATATATTATCATTATATTATTTCTCTAATCTTGCTCGTGGTTTTGCTGTCTTCCAGATAAGCCATAAGTTGTGTACGTCTTCAATAAGCTCCTTACTCTCCCCGTTTATGGAAGGACTCCAATCCTTTTTTTTTTTTTGGTACCAGGATCAAACGCAGGCCCTTGTGTCTGCAAGGCAGGCAGTATAGAACCACTGAGCCAAATCCCTGGCCCTCGAATTACATTTTGAATTTAAATAAACTTTAATTTAAAATCACATATTTATCATTTCTCATCACTTATGCTAGTTTTGAATTTTGAATAAAATGTAATACATTTTATAAATGGCTTGAAAATCACTATCGCTTTAAGCCCATTAATTGTTTTACTTTATATACTGGCTCTATTTCTCTGAAGTAACCATGCAGTCTTACATATTTACTAATTTCACTTCAATTTTCTGTAAACTCACTGAGTGGAACTTAATTTCTCAATATAAATATTGACCCTGAAATCAGTACAATTGTAAAACTATTTAAATTTTTCTAGCCAGGGTAATAGTATACTGAACATTCCATCAATAAGTATCTAAACATTTAAGCACAACTATTTCTAGAATTTAAAAGAGATCATTTAATGCAGGAAAATGATTACAGAAATAAGCAGATGATCTGTGGAGCTGCTGTGGCTTCATCTCAAGTGCCAGAGATATCAGTAGAGAGGGAAGAAAATGTACCTCTATTCTGCAAACTCAGCTAATGCCTACCCTTTATTGCCTATATCAACAAGAAAGGAATCAATAGAGATGCTGGGGAAATAAATAGAGCATTTAGCTTGTGAAACATAAAAGTACAAAGATAATATATCTGAGGGCAAGCAGGCCAGAACAAGAAGGGCCAGAAACAAGAATTAGTTTTGGAAAGGATGAAACAGGAACTTCAGAAAACCTAAAATGATTGAAAAGCTATTAGAACTGAACAAAGTTCTACACTGACAAATATTAGTAATTTTTGTCAATAATACAAATTAGAAAATAAGAAATGGGAGAAAATTCTAGGAAGTTGCAGTATCTCCTGTTTCTGTTACTATGGAATAGGTACATATACTCCAGCTTTTGTGTACAATGAGCAAAGAATTGTGAAGTGTTCCTCCAATAACTACATTTATTGAAGATCATGGGAAGTTATGCTAAAGGCAAGTCCATGCTAAACAAAGATAAGGCAGAGAAAAAAAAAGATATGGGGTGACAGAATAGTAAAAGGATACAAGTGAAAGCACAGTACTGGCAGCAGCAGCCCTCTTATGTAGACTTTCAGAATTTAAAAGATATACACCTCAGATCAGGTATTTTCCCTTGAATCTCTAGGTGTGATTTACAGGAATGACTGACAGAATATTGTGCCATCTCAAAGGCTCTTGACATCCATGCTTTTCACAGAATTCACTTTGATTTTAATTATACTTGTGGCATGTGGTACATATTTATGAACACTTAATGAGGCAGGAGTAGAGTGACAGTGATTAAAGGTAGGCTGGGTGATCTAACATGCGTGTGCTCTCACCTAGAGCGTAAGAGATTTCTTGGGTTTTTGTTATTTTATTTGCTACCTCTCAGGACAATGGAAGGAGGAATGGCCAATAGGGTGGCATTTAGAATTAAATGGATGGAAGGGAGTGAGTCTTTTGGCTCCATTGTTTCTAACTGTTCTATTACCCCCTGCAGCTCTGGTCTCCAAAAATCTTTAAGGGGTGCTGAAGGAGGAAGTTCCATCTTTTATGGTTACTTCTAGCTAAATTGGGACCTTGTTTCTACCTACATGGAGACCAATCTTAGCCTGACTGACCTATGATTTCAAGGGAACTGAGTTCTTTTTCTGAGGATTTCTTGACAAATGGTGGAGGTGGAAGCAAGTTGTGAGGGCCATCACCAATATTTTAACAGCCCTCAAACATGAAAAAACAAAATCTAATAAAAGATTAAGTATGTAAGATGTAAACAATAAGGTTATGTGAAGCCACAGAAGGGACATTAAACAAAATTGCCAATTCCAGATCCAGATATTTTGCTAGGACATCCATGAGTCAGACATTTATCACAGATCTTAGAAACAGTGTCAGCCAGTTTCTGCGGTGTATCTCTCCCCACTGCAGACCAACTGATGTAGGAATTATTCCTTTAGGGACAAACACATCCCCTCTGTTCCAGTGGTTAGGAGATCTAGTTCCCTACATATGGGCACCACTTCTCGTGAAACTATTTGAACCTGAAGGATGGCTATAAAACCTGAAGGATAGTTTATCTAGGCTATCAAATTCTTAGATACCTACTGATCATAGGAGAAAGATATGTTGAGCTTTAAGGTTTTATATAATCGATGCTTATTATCTCTATTAGAGGCAGTTTCTGAACCATCCAGGATGATCCCAAAAGACAGAGAAAACTTCAAAAGAAATATTATAATTTAGGGAAAAGACTTTAAGTGTAGTAAATGAGAGATTAGCAAGATGAATCACACAATTTACTTACAGGAAACAAAATATTTTACTTATCTGGTTCAACAGGATGGTTGGTGTTTTCTTTTCCAGAAAGAAGCTTGAGGTTCACAGGTGTACAAGCTTGGTGGTCCTTCTTCCTTTCAGATATCTCAAGCGGCTTGGATTTTACACTGGAGAGGTGACTCTATCTATTCCTTGTGCTTTAATGACAGAAGGAGTTGTTCATAGTTGAGTAAGGACATTTCTATTTGGGTGTGAATTGGCCCTAGGGTCCATTCTCTTTCCAGGTGTTGATTAGGACCTGGTCATCAGGTAAGATGTTGGGCTGACAACTGTTAGTCCCTAGGAGAGGAAGAATCTTCCATATTTCTGGGGGGACTATTGGAAAGTTCCTAGGTGGGTCACATTTTGTAGGAACTGGGAAGTTTTTGTGTCAGTAAGACAAATATCAGAAAACTTCTTTCATAAATCATCTTAAATGGGCTGAGATAAATTTGAACTTGGGGAGCCCCCAAAGCCTCATTAAGGAGATCTAGCCACTTATGGTGCATTTCTTGACATAGCTGGGCTAAATTTGCTGATTGGCTCTCTTTATTTTTCTTGATGACTGAAGTCTCTACAAAGCGAAAAGATGGTATTTAATTCACAGTGCTTTGGTGACTATCTATGTAATTTGGGATGTAAAAGATGGTCTGTTATCATCCTGAATAGACCCAAGCAGTCCAAACCTAAGGATCACTTCTTTAAGAAGGACTTCACCACCTCCAAGGGCTATTCTAACCTTGTAAAGAAGTCAAACAGAGTACACTAAGAGGTGTGTGTACCCTTACATGTAGGCATACGGATGAAGTCTGTTTGGCAGGGTTGGACTCACCTTTGTACAGGCTCAGGACATGGGGGAGGATGAGTCTGTGGATTGTGGTAGACATGGACAACTAATGTCTTTCAGCCTTCAGTAAGAACTCTAGGCCCTGCAATAAGTAATGGCATGTCACCCTAGGTGGAAGTCATAATATAGGGACTGATTGACTTTCCACTGCACTCATTGTGGCAACAATAGTCAGTGTCCCACGTGCCATCACTGACCTTTATGAGTTCCTCCCTCATTAAGAATCCTTTGAAATTCTTCGGTGGAATATTCTGGCTTTACATTAAGATCCTGGAGTGGGATTATGGATAAAACTATTGATGGGCTGGAAGTATATTGAAGAGTGGCCTGTTTGGCAGTGAAATTTGCCATATAATTACACTGAGACAGGGTCCAAAGAGGCTTGATGTCCCTATCAATAGAAAATTCCTACATCACTGAGGAGATTTACTGCTTTGAGAAAGTTGAGGATCCTTTGTCCTTATTTTATTGGAGACTGGCAACTAGTAAAAATTATCTGTATTTCCAGATGGCTGCATGCACAGGACCAGGAAATGCATATATAGTCAATATATATGTATGTATATATATATATATATATCCTATTGCTGGGGGCACGGGCAAGTTGGAGAAACCAAGTGAGGGCAGAATTCCGAGGGGGCAGTCCTCTTGTGTCCATGATCTGGATAGAGCTGACTATGGCATAATCCGCCCTCCTAACATTATCCTTTATGAAACTGAAGACATCAGTGGACCATATGCCAGCCTTTCTGTGAATGGCATGTCACTCCGATTGGGGCAACTGAAAGAATTTTGGGCAATGTTTTGTTCTCACTCGTTTTCAACTGCTGGTTATTTGGAAGCAGTATGGATGGGGTTAAAATGTTACAAGACTGAAGATGCACATCTGGGAGATTCATTCAATAAGAATGGCCTGATATTTAATGAGCCTTTCTCTTGTCATCCACAACTGTCCCTTGACTACTAACAAAGCTTTAACCTGTTGTGGAGTTAGAACTATGAGCTTTTGCCCATGCTTATCTTAGAAGATTCTTGAGTTAAGACTGACATAGTGACTACTGTTCACAGGCAGTTGGCTAGCTCTGCATCACTTCATCTAGTCACTTGGTAAAGTAGGCAGCTGGTTGGTTTCCTGGCCCAGATGCTGAATTTTTGTGGAGATGGCAACCTGTTAGGCAGTTTTGTCTGCAAAATAATTTCCCTGTCTTCTGGGGTCTGATGGCTTTTGATGGCCTTTATAGAGGATAACTCCAGCCTGGGAAGGACGAAGTAGAATTAGAACTCTTGTGGCTGCTTCTTGTTTTTCAGCCACAAAGAGACAGCTGGGCATGATGGCGCACTCCTGTAATCCCAGCACTCGGGAGGCTGACGTAGGAGGATCACTGTGAGTTTGAGACCAGCCTGGGCTACATAGTGAGTTCCAGGTCAGTCTCAACTACATAGTGAGATGTTGTCTCAACACCCCCACCCCCACAAAAATAAAGAAAAAAAAGGAGACAGATGTCTTAATGGTGTTTTTGTCAGATAATTCCTTGGTGGGGCTACAAATGAGGTTATTTACATACTGTAACAGGCCCATCTTTCTAAATTTGAAGCCTCTTGGTTCTTGAGCTAAAGCCCATGCAAATAAGTTTGGGCTATTTCTAAAACCTGAGGCAAGAGAGCTCAAGTGGACTGTTGGTGACATCCTGTTGAATGGGATCTTCCCATTCAAAGGCAAACAAATATTGGGAGTTAGGATCCAGAGAAAATTTCTCCTTCCCACCTCCCAGATCGTCAGATCCCCTCTTTCCTCCACAACAGCTTTCAAATAGGATACAAGCCCCTTCAGTTGACTAATGCAGACATTGGTATTAGCCCACCAAGTTTGTGGAATCACTCCTGCCCAAGTCTTCACACACATGCCATGAGTTAGAAAATTCAAATGCCTTCTATATGGGTAGACACAGTCACAGGATGGACCAAGGCCTTCCCCACCACTTCAGAAAAGACAGAATCAGTCATACAATGCCTCCTAATGGACATAATACCTCTATTCAGTCTCCTCACATCCATCCAGTCAGAGAGCAGGCCTTCCTGCATTCCCAGATGACCCAGATTTTCTCCAAATCCCTCAGAGTGAACTGGAGCCTTCACACCCCCTATGGGCCCCAATCCTGAGAAAAAGTTGAAAAAACTAACAGCCTAATTAAGGTCCAGCTCAACAAACTCTCCATACAACTGAAAAGAGACGGGGTCTCCATCCTTCCTATTTCCCTCCTCAGGATTAGAGCAGCCCCCTGAGAACACACTAGGTGCAGTCCTTTGGAACTGCTGTATGGCTGCTCCTCACTCCTGGGCCCCAACACAGCCCGAGAAACTAGAAACTAGTGTTTCAGGAAACTATCTCCCTATCACCCAACAAGTCACAGAGCAAATTCACAAGGCTGCTAACCACCACCTGCCTTCCCTAAATATCCACCCATTTGAGGATGACCTGGCCAGTAGGCAAGTCTTAATAAAAGATTTACACATGCCACATTTAGAACTCAAGTGGATAGGTCCCTACACAATTACCTACATAGCCCTGACCACTGCCCATCTGCAAGACCCTTTCTACTGGACGAAGCGTGTCCTTAGGAGGGCCTTTGTTAGGTGGGAGTTTAGAATAGATGACCCTCTTATGAGAAATCCTCTTTCTGCCCAGATTGCAGCATGGTTGTGAAGGATGTGGAAGGCATATTTTGAGTCTGTATATATGTTACCTCTGTGTCCTTTTCCTAGCATGAGAGCTTGGGTTAGAGTGACAAGTTCAGTCTGCTTGGAGGTGGTGTGTGGGAGCAGGACTTTAGCTTCAACTACTGAGTTTATGGTGACAACTGCATGTCCTGCTTTATCTGGTGAAGCGTTAGTGGTCTTATATTAGCTCCCATCTATGAATCATGTGTATCCTGAGTCCAGTAGAGGGAGACCTGAAATGTATGGAAAGGGGCACAGTGTAAGCACATGAGAAGAAGACAGTCATGGTCCCAGATAAGGGGTGCCTCTGTTATGGCTGCTTGGGAATCAACAAAGAGGTAGGCTTGAAGGTTTTCCCTGAAGTGATGGTGACTGTAGTTGTTTGAAAGAAGAGAGAATACAGTTGTAGAAGTCTTGGAGCTGAGAATAGATGTGGCAGGAGGTCAGGAGATTTTGGAGGTTATGGGAGAAATGGGAGGTGATGGGTGCTTGGTGGGTGATTTTTGATACTTCTAGGAGTATGGCTGCAGTAGCCACTGCTGCTCTCAGACAGGTTGGCCACCCCCTAATGGTGGGGTCAAGCTATCCTGATAAGAAGATGACTGGCTGGAGACTTGGCCACTGCTTTAGGACTGCAGCAACACACCCTCTTTCTTCTATATTGTGGAGAAGGAAGGTGTGTGAGAGATCTTGGGTTTGAAAGGCTGGGGCCACTTTTAAGGCTTGTTTTAGCATTTTCAGTGAGGAGTGGGGGAATGACTTGTTGTCTAAGAGGTCTGAGGGATTCCCTGGAGTTAGTTCATAAAGGAGTTTTATGGGTATTGTAAAACCTGGAGTCCAAAGATGGAAATAGCCAACGATTTCCAAGAAGGAAAGGAGTTATGTTGTAGTCAGAGTTGAGATCTGGGTAATTCAGTGTATATGATCTGAGTGAAGAACTTGAGTGTGTTTGTGGAGGATGATGCCTAGATAGGTCACTGATGGGGAACAGATCTAGGCCTTGGAAGGTGACACATAATATCCCCTCCCTGGTAGGAGTTGTAGGAGGGAAAGGCATCTTGGTGACAGGATACTTGAGAAGGGCCGCAGAGAAGGAGATGGTACACATATTATAGAAACCAATCGGTTGACAGAAAAGGAAGTCATGGGCAAGGGCTTGGCTGAAATAGTGAGGGATATCTCTAAAGCCTTGGGGGAGTTCTGCCCATTAAGCCGCTGTGATTGGTAGGTATCTGAGTCTGTCCATGTGATAGCAAAAGGGGACCATGAGTCAAGATGTAGAGGGATGGTAAAGAAGGCATCCTTTAGGTCAAAGATTGAGTAGTGAGTTGTGGTTGAGGGAATGAAGGAGAGGAGCATATATGGGTTAGGGACTATAGGATGAATGGGAGGATAAATTGGTTGATGCCTCGGAGATCTTGTACCAAACAGTATGATTGATCAGACTTACAGACAGAGAGAATGGGATGTTGAATGGGTAGTTAGTGGGAATCAGGAGATTATGTTGGAGAAGGCAAGTAATGATGGGTTTTAGTTGTGAGAGGGCTGGATTGGGTAGGGAGTACTGGTGCTGGGCAAGGTAGGGCTGGCCCTATTTTAGAGGAATATAGAGGGGCAAGTAGTGTCAAAAGACAGAGGTTGAAATTCCCTAGATGCATGGGTTGAGGGAGGGCGAGGATATGGGATAAGAGGAGGGTGCATCAGTAAGTTTGAGGATGGAGGTAATAGGATGGGGAGCAGACCCTGGAATAGTGAGCCTGGCAGAGAGGTTTTTGTTAAACATTTTGTCGGAGTCGAATTGGACAGGTGGGGATGAATAGGTATGAGTGAGTAAACATTTGGTTTTCTAATTGACATAAGAGTAGAGGAGTTTTAATAGGCCTGGGAAGAGTGCTGTCAATACCCACAACAGTAACTGAAGCTAAGGTTAGCTTTCTTGAATATGAGAAGATGGAGTAGGTTGTCCCAGTATCAATTAAAAAATGAAACAGTCTTACCCTCCACCAGTAGATTTACTCAGAGTTAGGCATCTATGATGGTCCAGAGAGTGTCCCAGACCTCTAGGGTGTGTCAATCATCTGAGGCCCAACCAATCAGGTCCATGAGGGAGTCTGGGACTCACAGGTGGCACTTGGAGAGGACCCGTGGGGTGGGCCACACCACAATAGGACAGCCCAACTTTCACTGAGGGCCTCTTCATGTGGAGCATGGCTCGGGAGGGAGTCCTGGATTTGGACAATCTTTGGCCCAATGGTGACACTTAAAGCAGGTTCCTGGGGTGGGGGACCACCTTTTTTTGTCCCCTGGAAGTTTTCTTTGTCCCCAATTGGCTTTCAGACTTTTTTTTTTCTTTTTACTGAGTTTATTGGTACATTCTAGGTATACAGTACAGTTTCATTCATTACTGGATATGTATTCGGACCCTTGGCACTGGAGGAAGGACCATTCTAATTCCCCAAACTGAGACAAGCTCACCCACCAACATGGTGGCCAGAGAAGAATGCCCAGACAGTGAATGATGCTGCCTGAGTTGGCTCACGTTGCTGACACTCAAGGACATCCCCATCACTTTTCAAGAGCCTCAGGTAAATGTGGATGCTGTAGGCAAACAAATTACATTCCTTTTCAATGCTGGAGCATCTCATTCAATGCTAAACATTTATTTATAGTGCGTTATCCCTTTCCTCAGTTGTTGTGGGTCTTGAAGGAGTTAATTGGTCAGTTTTCCTTGTCCTCCCTGTGAACGGCCAGTTGAGAAATTTGCGTTTTCAAGCTGCCTTCATGCTAATACCAAAGTGCCCCATGCCACTGATTAGAAGAGATATACTCTTCCGACTCAGGGCCACTCCATCATTCAAACCTCGGGCAAACTTTATGCCAGTTGCTAGGGACCTGAGCAAGCAGCTCCATCATACTCAGTTTCTCTCAACTCATCCCCATGGGTAGTATGATGGCACCCTGTGATAGGCTGTCAAGGCCACCTTGATAATTCAGCTCAAGGACCCTAATGTCTTCCCTCACGGAAGGCAGGGTATGCAGGGGCTAAAGCCTATTATTAATCATTGTTTGGCTGGTGCCATGCCAGTCTCAGTGCAACACACCCATTTCATCAGTATTCAAGTCATATGGAGAATATCACTTATTATGAAAACTCAGAATCATCCATAAAGTAGTAGTGCCTATTGACCAGAGTAGTAGCAGACCCTTATACACTCCTTGCTTAGATCTGGAGAGACACTAACTTGTTCTCTGTCCTTGACCTCAACGATGTCTTCTCTTCTGCTCCCATGAATTTTAGCTCTCAGTGCTTTTCGGGTGCACCTCATAAACCTCACACATTGTGAATTATTGAATAACTTCAAGTTTCTTTTCAGAAAACAAAGCACCAGCCAACTGCTGGGCCAGATAAGTAAGCCATTTTATTCCCTCTAAATAAAAGGCTCTTGTGTTTATCAAGGAAATAATTGCCAAGGGTATACCTTATAGTAATTAATAAGTAACCATATTTATTGAAGATCATGGATAACAGCAGCAAGAAGAGGCCAAAAGGCAAAGGGAAAAAAGGGGATGGAAGAGGAACCTCTGGCCATAGGTAAAGCTGTTGCTGGTGATGAAATTCTCCATGAATGGTGGTGTTGACTATGTGAAAGCAGGTGCACTCAGGGCTGGTACTCACAGGCTCCAGGCTGTGCTGGGCCCAAGGAGGGGGAAGGAGGAAGAAGGGGAACCCTTGATAACTCAGGTTTTCTCTATTTAAAGAGTCAAACCCTTCCAACTCCAGGTGCCTTCATCCCATCTCTCACTGAAGCCAGTGTTCTTCCCTCTCACACATCATGACTTCCTAAGCTAAAACATAGATAATCATGAGGGTGTTCTGAGACCTGGCTTCTCAGGATGGAAGTTTGGAAGTCGGTTTTAGAGATAAGCAACTTCTCTAAACTTCCTCGTGCTCAGCATATGACAAACACTCTTCCTTTTTTCAACCCCAGAGAAGCATTGGTACATGCAGATGATGGGGCCAGGAAGCTGGAACCCAGTTTCCTTTCAACAAGAAGGGAAATAATGGGCTCATTATGGCTGGAAGTGATAAAGCTTAAAGCAAATACGAAAATCTGCATTATCTTTGTGTGTTCTCGCTTTCCTCCATTCTTTACTACAACAGATCCTTCTTTAGAGAATGTGGTGGTGATGTGAGGCAAATGGGCCTTCCCTTAGAGCTAAGTTTGGGTAAATTCTGTTTCCTTTTTACCAAAGTAACTGGCATCTTTTGATCTGGTCAGCAGCAAGCAAAAAAAAGCTCACTGAGCATATGAACCTGAGTGGCTGGTAACAAGAGCAGTTCTTCAATCACTTACAGCTTCAAATTCTGTTCTCTTGGAGCCCTGAACTAACATTTAGGAAGCTCGAGTAGCCCGCTAGAAAAAGGAGTCCAGTCGATATTTCTGGCCACCTCAGCGAAGTCCCTGTCTGTGCAAAAGAATCCATCTTTTATGCTTGAGCTCTGGCCAAATCCCATTTCACTGCAAATTTATGAATGATTCTGGCTGTTATCACAGTGAGCAACAGGTCTGAGACTTCAAACACAGAATCATGAGAATCTGTTAAAAGATGCTGTAAGCTTCAATTATAGATTGGTTTGTTATGCTTCCTAAATAATTAATACAGAATAGTAGTGGTGGTTCTTTTGTACTCTGACTTACTGGGACTTTCTCATATGTAATTATTTTGATGTTAGTGATACCTGGAAGAGAGGTCTCCAATACTCAGGCTTTAGACAAGTTACTGGTTGGTGAACCTCTCCACACAGCAGGAGAGGCCAGAGATCTGCAAGCTTCATCTGTGTTTACAACCATTCCCTGTCTCTCTCACTTCTTGCCTAAGCTCTGTGTCCTGTCAGATCACTGATGGCATTAGCTTTCAACAGGAATATGAACCCTAATGTGAGCTGCCAAGGTGAGGGATCTGCATTGCTTGCTTATTTGAATCATCTCAAAATCACCTACATTCCCACCCCAACTGTGGAAAAATTACTTTCTCTGATACTGGCCCCTGGTATCAAAAAGATTGGGGATTGCTGTGCTAAAGTATAGCTCTTTTATCTTATTGTGCTTCCTCAGACACTTTAAGTCAAAGGTGCCTCACACAGCAGAAGGGCACCAAGGTTTAATAGGGACTAAGTACTTAGCAACTGAATGTTTCTTCTCAAATCATGAAAATAAGGAAATTTAAGAAAATGCATCACAGATCAGTTCTTTTTTTAAAACAAAAAATAGTCACTTTTCTCTGTCTTTAGCATGTCTCACTGCAAAAGACTATTACCAGTGCCTTCTTTTCTGTTTTTATGCACTGTCTCCTCACGTTTGTCTTCTACCACTGTCCAAGCATTTTTCCATGAAAACTGCAGTTTTCTCCAATGCTGTTTGCTCTTCTTAAAAATAACCTTTTATCTTTTAACACCTAAGATTTTGAGGAATAAAATTCTCTAGCAATTCAAGATTCAGGAAAATGTCTTAGTAATGAATCTGGAATATAAATAAATAAAAAGTGTCCACGGAATATGTAAATAATGGTCTGGAAATGCATTCCTTGTGAATATTCCCTAGAAATACATAATGCTAAAAAGGTAGGTGGAATAGAGAATGTACCCCTTTTTTATAAAGTAGCTAATATTATTTATTTCCTGTGGTTAGAAACTTAAAAAAATCTTCTTTAAATTTATTCCAAACACAATGATATCATCATCAAATTTGACTGTTATTTATCTGTGCTAAAAGTAACTATTTTACATGTGTTTGTGTGTGGTGTATGTGTTTGAATATGCTGAAAATATTTTTGATAATCACATTATTAAATTTTATTTGTTCTAATTCTAAATAAATTTGTAGTTAAGGCATTACGAAAGAATGTTAAGTTTTAAAAATTTGTTTGAATTTGTGATCTCTTACAGAAAGTGACTTTTTTTTCTAGGTAATAAATTCAGTAATACTTTCTTTTTTCTTTTCTGGAATAGAGTTAAATATCTAAGATTTAGGCCAATGTCTTATTCAAATATTTATGAAATCACTTTCTTTTTTCATTAATTTTATTGGTACAATTTAGGTATACAATATCGTTACATTAATCATTGAGATCTTGCACCTTTACATAACGTATCTCAGTTCTTATTTTCCCCATTCCCCTGACCTCTCTTCACCCTCTTCACCCTGCCTATTTACAGTCTTTGTTTCCATGTTTTTCCTTTTCTCTTATTTTCTCTTTTCCCTTCTTACCTTTCACCCACCCCTCCTACTTCTCCTACTCCTTTAGATCTTTTCTACTTATTACACAATATCAATTATACATTTGGATTCTTATTTACACTTTTAGATTTTCACACCAGAGAAACTATTTGGTATTTACACATTTGTCTTCTCTTTATTTCATTTAAGAGTATGGCCTCAATGTGCATCTACTTAGCTATTTATGTCTCTAGTTTCTCATTCTTTATGGCTGAGCAGTACTCCATTTTATATTTTAAAAAATCATTTTTATCCAGTCTCCAGCTCATGGGCAATTGGTCTGTTTTCAACTTTTAGCTATTACAAACTGTGCCAGTATAAAGATGGGTACACATATATCACTGTGGTATGATTCTTTTTATTCTTTTGGAATGGGTCTTTAATTCCCAGCAAAGAAATAGCTGGGTCAAATGGGTCTTCTAATCCTAGTTGTTTCAGGTATCTTCATGTTTATTTCCACAGTGGTTGCACCAGTCTGCACTCCCACCAACAATGAAGAAGCGTTCCTTTCTTCCCACAACCCCTCCAGCATTTGTTATTGATTGATTTCTTGATAGCAGCCATTCTTTCTGGGGTGAGGTGGAATCTTAGCATTGTTTTCATCTGCATCTCTTGAATGACCTGTGATATTGAACATTTTCTTTCATATGTTTATTTGCTGCTGTTACTTCTTTGTCTGAGAAATGTCTGTTCATTTCAGTTGCCCATTCTTGGACTGGGTCTTTATATTTGGGGGTCTGATTTTTTTTAGTTCTTTTTATATTCTAGTTAGTAGACCTTTGTCTGAGGAATAGATGGTAAAAGTATTTTTCCCACATTGTAATTTGTCTCTTAGCTCTGTGGTGACTTCTCTTGCAGTGCAGAAACTTTAAAAAGATGAGATCCCAGTTGTTGATTCTTTGTGCTAGTTCCCATGCTACTGAGGATTTGTTCATAAAATCTTTTCCTATGCCAATATCTTCAAGAGTCCTACCTAACCTACCTTCCATCAAGTTTAGTGTTTCTGTTTTCATATTTATATCTTCAATCCACTTGGATTTTAGTTTAGTGCATCGTGAAAGATAGGGTTTTAGTTTTAATCTTTAGCAGGTTGAAATCCATTTTTTCCAATACCATTTATTAAAGAGGCTATCTTTCCTCAGTGAGGATGGTTGGTTCCTTTGTCAAAGATGAGGTAGCTGAGTATATCTAGAGTTGCTTCTGCATCTTCTAATCTATTCCACTGTTCTAGGTGTTCACTCGCCTTCATTGTTTGACAGAAATTCAATGGCATTGCCACTAGTATCTAGGGTTCCAATCCATGCTAG